GAAGCGGATATCGTCCTCTTTTGGAAGACCAAACAAAGTAGTTTCGCTTTCACAACGAAACACATAGTGCCTTCACGACATGGCAGCAGCGGCAACAATACTACAGCGAGAATAAAAGTTATGCCTTCTTTCTTTGTGTGAACATTTGGGCGGCGTTATGCAAATCTTCCCACATCGTGACGTAGACATGTGGGGGCGTGTTAGAACGAGACGTTTTAGGTAGGCGTGGCTGACTCTTAACTTTTATAAAGAATATCTCTTTGGATTTGAGACTTTAGTCTTTGCAACTTTACAGATCTTCTTTATGCACCAAGAGCTTGTAACACTCCAAAGAGAAAGGAAAAATTTGACCCCTTTAATAAGATAACGATTTCTGACTTTTTGTCGGCGTGACCTGTCAGCGAGAGTTTAAACTGGTGTGAACTAGCCCCCCGACTGAGCCTGGTTTCTCCCAAGGTTTTTCCTCTATTTCTGTCACAGATGGAGTTTTGGTTCCTTGCCACTGTTGCCTTTGGCTTGCTTAGCTGGGGACGCTTGACTGATTAGACAGACACTATTGGAAGAGAGCTGAACTGGATGATGACATCACTGAATCATCAATGAACTGAATTTAGCTGCAAAAATGACTTTGTTATTGTCTTGCATTATTGACAAACTATTTTCCTGTTTAACACTGTAAAGCTTCTTTGACACAATCAGTATCGTATAAAGTGTTATGCATTAAACTATGGCCACAAATTGAAGAGGCACGACAGCAAGGAAAAAAAGCTTTCTTCATTGGAGCCAAAGCCATCATTGAAGGTAAAGAAATAAGAATGTAATGGTGATAGCCCTGATGTGTCGTTAAGGAAAAGTATGATGGTTAACTTGTGTGCCTTTCGTTAAGAAATTATGTTTTATTCTAAATTACATCTAGTGATGTTATATAATGTTTGAACTTTAAAAGGTCACAGAGTTATAAACTCATGTTTGCCTGCTTTATACTTTGCACTCAAAAGGTGTAGAAAATCATTCAGTATCGTATAAAGTGTTATGCATTAAACTATGGCCACAAATTGAAGAGGCACGACAGCAAGGAAAAAAAGCTTTCTTCATTGGAGCCAAAGCCATCATTGAAGGTAAAGAAATAAGAATGTAATGGTGGAAAAGCCCTGATATGTCGTTAAGGAGAAGAATGATGGTTAATTTTGTATGCCTTTCGTTAAGAAATTGTAGTTTATTCTAAATTGCATCTAGTGACGTGCTAGGTCATACAGTAGGTCTTTACCTAAACTTTGAATTTCGAAAGACCTGAGAGTTATAATCCAATGTTTGCTTGTTAAATACTTTGCACTCAAAAGGTGTAGAAAATCATTTTGTTTCTTTGTTCTTCCTAAAACCTTTTTTTTTTTTTGTTCTTTTCACTTTGTCTTTATCCTTGTATTCACTTGATGTGAGGGGTATACAAGAACATATTAAGAGGAAAGCTGTATTTTTGTTTTGTAAATCCTTCAAGGCAGATTTTTATCTTTTACAAGAAACACATGCTTTAGCCTCAGATTTTAATAGAAAAATCAGTGGGGAGACAATATCTGGATGTCTTATGTAAACAGTAAATCAGCTGGCGTTGCCATATTATAGGGCTCATTTCAGGGAAAAATCCTAAAAAATGTAGTTCATGATTCAGGAACCGTCAAAGATCTTTAAGAGGCATTTATGGAGAATTTAATAATCTCTGTCTGCACTTAAACTGTTGTGATGTGTGGAGACTAAAAAATCCACATCAAATCCAGTTCACTTGGAATAACAAAGATTTATCCAAGAGATCCAAGATTTACTTTTGGCTTATTTCTATGATTTATTATGATTTATTAGACAGTGTGGAAGAAACTAAAATAGAACCCTTGTTTTTTTCTGATTATAATATGATCACTTTAGTAGTATGCATAAGAAACCAATCAATTAAATGTAAACCAAATTATTGGAAATTAAACAATACACTTTTGAGTGATAAATTATTCAAATAAAAAGCCATAAAAATTATAAATGAAAATTTGATAAAAGCCAAAAAAGATAACATATATGGTAAACATTGGGACTGAACAAAATTTCAGATTCGAATGGCCATCAAAAGGGGAAAAATAATTAATTATTAATTATAGGAAAAAAGATTGAGACAAGACCGAATACTCAAGGAAATAATTCCTATTTATGAAAAGGATAAGCAAAAGCAAGCTGATATCAATATGTTAACTGAATTGCAATCTGAGTTGGGCAATATCTATCAAAATTTGGCCCAGGGAGCTTTCATTTGTTCTAGACGGAAATGGATAGAATATGGTGAAAGGAATACCAAATACTTTCATAAATTAGAAAAAAGACATTTTATTGTTAACAGTATATATAAACTTAAAATTAATGAACGGATATCCGAAGACCCTAAAACAATATCTGTTTTTGTGGAAGAATTCTATAAAAAAAACTATATTCTGAACACTACAGTAATCAGAGTTCAAATGTTCTTTCTTATATAAAAAATGTTGCACACACTTGATGTGAGGGGTATACAAGAACATATTAAGAGGAAAGCTGTATTTTTGTTTTGTAAATCCTTCAAGGCAGATTTTTATCTTTTACAAGAAACACATGCTTTAGCCTCAGATTTTAATAGAAAAATCAGTGGGGAGACAATATCTGGATGTCTTATGTAAACAGTAAATCAGCTGGCGTTGCCATATTATAGGGCTCATTTCAGGGAAAAATCCTAAAAAATGTAGTTCATGATTCAGGAACCGTCAAAGATCTTTAAGAGGCATTTATGGAGAATTTAATAATCTCTGTCTGCACTTAAACTGTTGTGATGTGTGGAGACTAAAAAATCCACATCAAATCCAGTTCACTTGGAATAACAAAGATTTATCCAAGAGATCCAAGATTTACTTTTGGCTTATTTCTATGATTTATTATGATTTATTAGACAGTGTGGAAGAAACTAAAATAGAACCCTTGTTTTTTTCTGATTATAATATGATCACTTTAGTAGTATGCATAAGAAACCAATCAATTAAATGTAAACCAAATTATTGGAAATTAAACAATACACTTTTGAGTGATAAATTATTCAAATAAAAAGCCATAAAAATTATAAATGAAAATTTGATAAAAGCCAAAAAAGATAACATATATGGTAAACATTGGGACTGAACAAAATTTCAGATTCGAATGGCCATCAAAAGGGGAAAAATAATTAATTATTAATTATAGGAAAAAAGATTGAGACAAGACCGAATACTCAAGGAAATAATTCCTATTTATGAAAAGGATAAGCAAACGCAAGCTGATATCAATATGTTAACTGAATTGCAATCTGAGTTGGGCAATATCTATCAAAATTTGGCCCAGGGAGCTTTCATTTGTTCTAGACGGAAATGGATAGAATATGGTGAAAGGAATACCAAATACTTTCATAAATTAGAAAAAAGACATTTTATTGTTAACAGTATATATAAACTTAAAATTAATGAACGGATATCCGAAGACCCTAAAACAATATCTGTTTTTGTGGAAGAATTCTATAAAAAAAACTATATTCTGAACACTACAGTAATCAGAGTTCAAATGTTCTTTCTTATATAAAAAATGTTGCACAAGGTATTGACAAAACACAGAAAGAAGTTTGTGATCAAGATATATCACTAGAAGAATTACAAAATAACTTTAGCAAGTTAAAAGATAATACAACTCCAGGAAATGATGGCCTAACAGGTGAATTTTATAAGGTATTCCAAGATTACATTTCTGAATTTTTATTATTGTTTTTTCAGGAAGCTATAGAAGCCTGTAAGCTCCCCCCATCTATGCGTCAAGGACTAATTACATTGTTACCTAAACCCAATAAGGATTGCCTGATTCTTGACAACTGGACGCCTATAACTTTAATAATGATGCAAAATTGTTGGCTCACATTTTTGCACAATGAATAACGTTATGCTTAGATACAGTCATAGATGATAGTCAGTCAGGCTTTATGCAACGACGACATAATAGCAATAATATTAGATTAATTTTAGATTTAATTAATCTAACTGTAACTGATGACAGTTACATTTTATATATATATATATATATATATATATCCAAAAGGCTTCGTTGAATAAACATGAGCACGTACTCCACATTTAAAAATCATAATGAGGCGCGGGTGTTTTTATTTCACTGTATTTCTGAAGGAAGACTATCTTAAGAAAATTTTCGATGTCATTTTCATTTCATCTTGCATGTTATATGCCTGATAAAGCAGCGTTTGTGAGCTCAGTGCTGATTTGTGTACAGCCTTTACTGGGGAAACCTCTGTTTCTCCCGCTTTAAAGCACCTCCTGCTGGCAGAGAATGAATTAGCATTTTCAGTAAGTCCATCTGATTTACGCAGCAAACATATTTTGCTTGTTATCAAAAAATAATCTACTCTAAAGGGACTACTTAGCTGTTGTCATTGATTCTATTTGGAAGTCTACCGGAAGTTAAGTTAGGGCCACAAAAGCACGCATGCGCAGTAACGTTTGTTTATGTTGTTGCCGTTGAAACCGTCTATATAGCCTTTGATACTGTAAAAAAAAATTTTTTTTTTTTTGGGGTTTGGTCAATACTTTAAAAGGGCGATACAAACGTTATATAATGACTGTAATAGTTCAGTTAAACTTCCATGGGGAACAACTCATCGATTTAGCATTTCCCGAGGCACAAAACAGGAAGATCCGGCAGCTCCTTTTCTATTTATTTTACTTATGCAAACGATGGCTTTACATATACATAATGACTCTTTTCAAGGCATCAGAATTAGGGACAGAAAAAATAAATGCTGTCAGCTTGCTGATGATACAGCTATCTTTTTGAAAGATATATCACAGGTTAAGAGAATTATAGAGTGTCTTAATATATTTTCTGAAGTGTCAGGTTTATCTTTAAATATAAAAAAAATGTATATAAGACATGGTATTCCTTTTACTGAATTTGAAGGTATTCCAATTAGGGAGGAAGTAACTTATCTTGGTATCAATATTTGTAAAGATCAGTCAATCGGAGTACAATCTAATTTCCAACCCCTTATGTTGAAAATTAAAAAAGAAATTTGATATGTGGCTCATGAGGGATTTATCACTCAAAGGTAGGATTCTTTTGTCCAAAACCGAGGGGCTTTCTCGTTTAGTCTATCCCGAGAAAGTATTAGATGTACCAAAATCTTTTCTTAAAAAAAATGATTCAACTCTCTTCAATTTCATATGGAAAAACAAGCCTCACTATTTAAATAGAAATATTTTATGTAATTCGTATATTCAAGGAGTTTTGAATGTGATTGATTTTGTTACTTCTAATACAATTTTCAAGTTGAACTGGTTTAAACATTATATTCCATGTAAATAATAACGTATATAATGAGCAGATAATATGGAATAATAAAAAATTTAAATATAAGAACAAATCAATTTTCTATAATAATTGGGTTAAAGTGATATTTTAATGGTCTCCCAGTTAATAAATAATGAAGGATATTTATACTGAGTTTTTAGAGAAATTTGATATTCCAATACCTCCACATTGTAATATGTGTGTTGCCTACCAGGTGAGGGTGCTAACAGTTAAGACTCCACTGGAGCACAGAGCCGAATAAAGTCAGTTGTTATTAACATACATGGCGTGCAGACTCATTTATAACATGGTGTCAGAAGTATCGAATTCAAGCCAAATATGGAAGGATTGAAGCCACCTCAACCACAGCAATTTGAAGGCAACACGGCAGAGAACTGGAAAAAATAGAAACAACAATTTTAACTAGGAACATGACTGCATCGGGCGTCGAAACGAAAGATAAGAAAATACAAAGCTGCACACTGCTACACGTTATAGGTGACGAAGCCCTAGAAATATATAACACGTTTGAGTTCGCAGAAACTGAAGACAAAAACGACGTTAAAGTCATTATAAAAAAATTTAATGACTACTTCGAGCCCCAAAAGAATGACGGCATATTTCATGCGAGTATGGACAACTATGTGACAGTCTAATAAAGGACAGAATTGTTGTATACGCGACGACGCGCTCAGGGCCAGGCTGCTGAGAGAAAATGATTTACAGGTGCATCTCAATAAATTAGAATGTCATGGAAAAGTTCAAGCCAAAATCATCACAATTAAAAGAACCAAAGACTTAAACTACTTCAGTCTGTGTGCATTGAATTTATTTAATACACGAGTTTCACAATTTGAGTTGAATTACTGAAATAAATGAACTTTTCCACGACATTCTAATTTATTAAGATGCACCTGTAGACTTGCATAAAGCCATTCAAATGTGCCGCGCTGCCGAGGCGAGCCGCACGCAGCTCTCTCAAGTTCAAGTACAGACGCAGCAGACGCAGAAGTTCACACAGTGAGACAAACGCGAACAAGACACGGAACACAATAACGATCCAGTCACGTCACATCATACAGAACTGTAAATACTGTGGAAGGGATCACAACAAAGGTAGATGTCCAGCATACGGAGAAAACTGCAAAAGATGTGGGAAAAGGAATCATTTTGCTAGTAAATGCATGACAACCAGGCCTCAGAAAAATATAAATACTGTATCTGAAGAGACTGATTCAGAAAACGAATTATATGTGGATGCTGTGAATGCAAGAAATGGAGATGATTGGATGGTAACCACACTGTGAAAAAAATCCTGTAAAATGTATGGTAAAAAAACGGCAGCTGTGGTTTCAATTTCACCGTAAAAAATACGGTAGCAACATTTTAGGTTTTACGGTTTTAACTTAAATTTACAGTTAAATACCGTTATTTCATTGACTGAAATGATGTTAATATACCAACCTATTGAAGTACTGAAATCTGTTTTGTACCTTTGTAATACACTGATAACCACCAAATGCAGGTGGTGATGAGAAAGTCACATGACGAACCAAAGCCCATCACAAGCAGCTTTTAAATAATAACATATATAGAAGGTGCACAGTGTCATTCACACAAACACTAAACACCATCATGGTAACACACATGAAACTGAAATAATGCAATAAACATTAATTTAACAACATTAGGTGTAACATACAACCCTAATATACAAAACTGATAAGAAAAAACTAAGAAGAAACAGTTATTTCAACAAAAAAACATCAAATTTGAAATGTAACGCAGGGAATTCTGGGAATGTCAATTTACGGTTATTCACTGTAAATTATACGGTCTTTTTCACTTCCAAAAACGGTATACTACCGTAAAATTACATGTAATGTCCAATACAGTGTTTCACCGTATATAGTAGGGGAATTTACCATTAACCATTTAACAGGTTTTTACTGTAGCATTTTTAGTCTTTTACCATTAAATTCACGGTCATTTTGTACAGTGATCAGACTGAATGGCCATAAAACTAAATTCAAGATAGCCGTGTCTATCTTGAATTTTGTTTTATGGCCATTCAGTCTGATGGCTCAATGCAACATCATTCCACAATCAATACACGCTCAAGGCTGTTCCACACTGCAAAAAGAGATGTGTTAAAAATGACACATGTTGTGTAGAATTTTAACACATGTATTGAGTGTGCTCAGGGACAACACATGTTGTGTTGAAGTTAACACAACAGATGTGTAAGCCATTTTAACACACAAATTGTGTCAGGTAATTAAACACTCAAATGTGTCATTTTAACACATTAAGTGTTGATTAAATGCAATTAAAATGTCCAGAAACTACTAATTAATAATTACTAATTATTAACTAATATTGTGTTAATATTAAAACATTAAACATAATTTGAAGAATTTGGAATTCTAAAACATTAAAGCAAAACAGACAAGATGCAAGAATATTAGGCATTTAATCAAATGTAAATAACAAATAATACATTTCATCAACTTTAAATTTCAGCCTACATTCAGAAACCTGTCATACTGGTATGGAACAACTCACTAAGGCTCACTAAGGGTGAGCAATTGTAACAGAAATTACATTTCTTGGTGAACTATACCTTATAAATGCATTAGTAATTATTTACAATACCTTATGATCTGTTAAGGTAATTTTTCATTATTATATAACAAGCATTTGTAATGCACTATAGCTACAGCATAGAGAAAACTGTTAACACATTAACACATAGTAGACCGTTAACTGAAACAACAATTATACTGTACACAGTTGAGAAACAGGTCTCATAACAGGACTGAATTCATCTCAAAGTTATATACTTCAGCATATAAAACATTTTAAATCAGACAACATATCTACACACCTTAAAATAGTGACAGATGACTATAGCTCTTAAACAGATTGTAATAGATTATATGCATTTTACAGTAAAATTGTCTCAAAGTAGGTTATTAGAATACATCACTGAGTTTGAGTTTATTAGTAGATCGTGTTATTGGTGAAAACTTAAAGGGATAGTTCACCCAAGAATGAAAACGCTATCATCATTTACTCACCCTCATGTTGTTCCAAACCTGTATGAGTTTACTTCTTCTGTTGAACACACACACACACACAAAGAGATTTCAACGAATGTTGGTTTACAGACAGTTGACAGTACCCATTGACTTCCATAGCATTTTCTTGCTGCTATAGAATTCAATGACATCAACTGTTGGGTTACAAGCATTCGTTAAAATATCTTTGTGTGTGTGATCAACAACAGTAGTAAACTCATACAGGTTTGGAACAACACGAGGGTGAGTAAATGATGATAGAATTTTAATTCTTGGGTGAACTATCCTTTTTAAAAGGCAAGACAGACAATCTTAAGTCTGGCCATCCGCATTCTGAAATTAAATAATCTTGTACCTTGGGTTTACATACAATTCATCTGTATTGAAACTCAACATTATATCAAAAGGTCTTGCATCTGCTGCACTGGTCAGGCTGATCATTTTATATTCTTTAGTTGGTTCTACCACAAATGCATAAAAATGGTCATCAAAGTATTTGACTTTTAGAATTCGTACAAACATCAGAACTGAGACATTATCAGCCTGTGGGATAATGTGAATAATTTCACCAAACACAGGCTCTCCTTTACAGTCAATCTTAAGAGGCAGCACAGAGCCAGTTCTGTAAGCACACTAACAGTGTGAGTGACATAGACAGTGCTGTTCAAAGTCAAGTCATCAGAGGTTGATCTCAGATTGTCCAGCACAGCATCAGCTTGCTTCAAAGAGCTGATGGTAACAGGGTATGCATTTGTAATACTCATTTTCACAGAAAAAGGGTCACCTAACTTGAAGTTATACATTTGCTGAACTTGATGTTTGTAACTCAGCGTTTTAGAGATATTTTTGAAGTTTCCAACCACATGAGCATGTCTTTTTAACGGATAATGCTTCGCCTTATATTCTTTATTTTTGTTGATATTGGTTGTATGCACTTTGGACACATGTACATTCTCGGGAATTACTGTGCAGCCTGAAGTTTTGAAATAAGTTCTAGTACCTTGGCTTTCCTTTTGGTCGAAGTGGTCACATCATAGATGTATTCAAAGAAAGAAAACACAGCGCTGAGCTGTGGTGGATAGGCCACATTGCATACCCAGTACAGCTTGAAGAGCATGTCCACAGTGCATGTCAGGCTCTCACTTGCAGGTATGGTCACTCTGTTGTTTCTCGCGATGATTATGTATTGCCGTGTAGTACTCTTCAGACTGCCAATGCAGATCAGTTGTGGTTGGGTCTTTGATGTCTCGGAGTTGCTGCAGAGGGATGCAATGCTGGTTCCAGCCTTGGAGATGAGGGGGAAAAAAAAGGATATATATTTCAAAAGTTCAGAGAGCAAAAATAAAGATGTCAATATTTAAGCTGTAACGCATCACTACAAAAAACCTTATGAAACATACCGGTACAAAATCACGTAGGAATGAAATTGCACATTTAACACTGCAGCGACTCCCAGGTAATGGTGGCAGAAGATGTGTAAGAACAACTAGTGCTGTGTAGCACTTCTCATCTGAAAATTAAATAAGAACAGATAAGAGGTACAATAAATGTTTTCAAGTGTAGGATTAAGTGTATTTTATTTACACATTATTATACACAAGAGATGTGTGTATGTAAAGAAAACACTTACACACACACACACGTATTATACATACCATCTGTTTGGTCTTCCATCTCCTTTATAAGCGATGCAACATCACTTCTTTCCATGGCAGCCACTGCTTTCAGCTTTGGAATGATGTTGGCCTCCCATCGCCTGATGAACAGATCCGTCTTTCCATTCGTCATTTTGCCAAACTCGACATCCAGCTAAAAGAGGATACATTTTCAGAATATATTTTAAATCTACAGTGTCACTAACAATATCACAACTTTAGGATTGTTTACTAAAACAATGACAGACTTACCAGACATGGCATATCCAAGATGCATGGGTATTCATCAAAGATTTCAGCTATTGTTGGAGTTCCCTTCATTATCCATGACCTACGCCTCGAATACGCCTGCTCCATTGCAGATTTGATTGAAGGAATATTCTCTGAAAAGGGCCTGAGCCTTTTCATCAAAGTGATCCACTCACAGGCCACACTGCTATCCCCCTGGTCCTGATCCTGTTCTGTTCCAGGTCCAGTGTCACAGCTTATCTTGCATTTTGTGTATCGACGCTTACCTGCTTCTAGCTTTCGGCAGGTATTACGTAGTCTCAATTCCAAAAATGCAGAATGTGATGATGGATCGTAAAAATGCTCCTGAGATTATACAAAAAAAGAAACAAATAAAATTCTCAACAATATATTTTTTACTTCAGAATATTGACAATAGCGTAAGTGTGAACATACAAGTCATGCGTTAGATTTTAACTTCTACAATTCCTTATATGCATCAAAAAGTCAGATGGAACAAGCCGAAAATGAGTGCGTCATGAGACAAAAGTCCACATGACAACAGTAAAGCAATGCAACAAACATGTTTTTTCGGTAACACTTTACAATAAGGTTCCATTTGTAAACATCAGTTAAATGCATTAGCTAACATGAAAAGTACTTGTAAAACATTTATTAATCTTAGTTAACATTAATTTCAACATTAAACAAACACAGACAAGACCCATACATCATGCTCCTAGACTACCGAAACACATCCCTGGAAAACCTCCCATGTCCGGTGCAAGTGTTAATGGGGCGTAGAACTCCAGACACAGCTACCCACTGCACAAGAACTGCTTACGCCACAATGTATGACTGGCATACACAGACAACTCAAAAGCAACCAGCTCAAAACAAAACTACTATGACAGAGGTGCCAGACCCTGCCAGATCTTAAGCCTGGTGATTACGTGCGAGAATGCAGGAGAATGCACAGTGGAAGCCAGCAAAGGTGGTTGAAGTATGTGAAGCACCACGCTCTTACATTGTGGAAAGTAATGGACAACAACTCAGACAGAATAGAAGACATCTCATTCAGACAAGAGAACAACTATGAAAAAGCATCACCCATGATTCAGTACAAGAGTGCATTACCCAGCTGCCACCAACAGGAGAAGAGGGAAGTAATGAACTGGATGCACAGGGCAGTTACAGAGTCCAGTGTCAATGTCCAATCCAATACGACAGAGCCCAGCATTACAGAAGCGAGATATCCCAAAAGAGGTCGTAAATCACCTATGAGATTAGACTTATGAACTGAGACTCTTTGGTGATGCATATTACTGGTAACTACTGTTTACAGATAAGTTTGGTACTCTTTAATTGTTAGTAATACTGTCCCCAGTTATCTATTAAATACTGTTATGTTCTGTTACTATTTAATTTTAGTGAAAAAAGGGGAGATGTAATATGTGTGTTGCCTACCAGGTGAGGGTGCTAACAGTTAAGACTCCACTGGAGAGCAGAGCCGAATAAAGTCAGTTGTTATTAACATACATGGCGTGCAGATTCATTTATAACACACATGGATATAGTATTGTAGTTGACGCAATACCAGCAGGATTTGTGAGGCTGTTGCAGGGCTTTAGTGAATCTAAGCAATCAACATTTTAAAAAGAGATCTTATTAAACGGTATTGATATTAAAGATAAAAAAATTCAATATTTTTTTTTTTAGATATTTGATTCATTGCCCTGCAACATAAGTACTTTTGGAATAACCTTTTTGAGAATATCAATTGGAAATTGATTTGGACTTATAATAACAAATACTGGGTCACTAATAAAGTTAGTGAAATTGACTTTAAAGTTATGCATATAATTTATCCAACTAACCAGTTCCTCAAGAGATACAAAGCTGATCTCTCCGAATATTGTGTTTTTTGTGGAATGGATGTTGAGACTGTTTTGCATCTTTTTTTCTAATGCATGTATGTTAATATTTTTTTGGATTGAGGTTGAATGTTTGTTTACTATGTTGAGTGGATGTTGACAAAAATGCTACTGTACAGTTAAACTAAATCCATTACGGCTGCTGCGAATGAAATGAAAATGATATGAAAAGTCTTGACTGCAATATTAAATTTAAATCTGCTCAGTGTTGCACCATGATTCTTTTTACGTGTTTTTACAGTGTTGCGCGTTATAACCAATCACACACGAGTCTGTTGAGCTTATGAACGCAATAACCAATCACACACGAGTCTGTAGAGTTTATGAATGCAATAATGAATCAGATGCGTTCAGATGAGTCATCGCTGAAACACAGGAGTTTTTTGTTCAGTGCATGCGCTCGCTGACTGAATTCTGCTCTCTTGCGAATTCCCTCATTATTAACAACAAAGTGCAGATGTACGTATGATGTAAGTAGGAGATTCATTCATCTAACAGTGTATAGAAAGCTTTACTGATTTTAAGGGGAGTTCTTTGAGAGTGCTTAAACTCGCGCTAGACTTAAGTCAGTCATATACTGTTCCTTGACAATGTAAATGTTCTTTGCTCGCATTGTAAAATTGTTACGCCGTTTGAATAACTTTGGAAGGTACAGGTAATAAAAAAATGTATTAACTACATCCGTGAACATGATTCGGACATCTCTGGATGGTGAAAACGGCATCTCCCATTGTTCCACTCTCCTTCATTGCATTATCAAGCTTCGCCTTTGTTATTACTTTGTTATACTTACATATTACATATGCCTTTAAAGGTATTATCACTAATCTGTAAGTTTTACTCTAATGACTAAAACTTCATATAATTCAACACATGTTTTTGTGACCATTTTGTGTGGCCCCTTATTGTCTGCAAAAATGAGTAAAAGTTATTTGCTTAAAGGGATACTCCAACCCAAAATGAAAATTTTGTCATTAATCACTTACCCCCATATCGTTCCAAACCAGTAAAAGCTTTGTTCATCTTCAGAACACAATTTAAGATATTTTGGATGAAAACCGGGAGGCTTGTGACTGTCCCATTGACTGCCTAGTAAATTACACTGTCAAGTTCCTGAAATGTATGAAAGACATCGTCAGAATAGTCCATCTGCCATCAGTGGTTCAATCTGAATTTTATGAAGCGACGAGAATACTTTTTGTACGCGAAGAAAACAAAAATAACGACTTTATTCAACAATTCATCTCCTCTGTGTCTCTCCGCATCACCGCAGCGGCATTTTGGAGAATATCCGCTGAACGCAAGCAGCTTACACTCTTCTGTGTCAGCCGTGCTGCACGGATGCGCTGTTCAAATCAAAGCGTAAATACACGTAGAAAACGTATCCTTGTGTCGCGGCTGACACAGAATTATTATCCGTAATAATAATAATAAACATAAAATCAGACATGTGAATTTAAGATGACTTAAGGGAGCTGTTTTGGTCCCTTAAATTTTTATGGTTAAATGGTTACTAGGGACTTTGTAAGGGAACACTTAGATAATTAAGGGTAATACTTAATGACATCCTTAAAGTTCCTTAAGTTGGTCCTTAGGTTTTTATTGCAACCCAAGTTTCACTAAGGGTACCCTTTACCTTATAACTAAGGGATTTCTTAGCTTAAAGGGGTCATATGATGTTGCTAAAAAGAACATTATTTTGTGTATTTTGTGTAATGAAATGTGTTTAT